TGATTTGATCTTCTCAGCAACCCTGTTTTATTATCTTGATTTTACAGTTGAGGAAACTGAGGCTCAGAAAAGGTAAATGATCTGCCCAGAACAACATAGAGGGAGGATTCAAACTCTGGACTTTCCTGATTCCAAGTCCTGCGTTCTGTGTTATGCCATGCTATCTTTTCACCATGCTCCTTTTACAGTTAGAGAAACTGAGGCCCACAGAAGTTAGGTGACTTACCCAAAATCACATAGTGAGTATACGGCAGAGTCTCTGGTCCCCAGTGCTCTTTCTATCATATTCCGCTGACCCTTTATTCTGTGGATACAGACAGAGCAGCAGCCCTCTAGGGCCTGGGAAGAAATCTCTACCTAGGAAAGCTGGCATGCCTGTGGCAGTCTGGGGCTTCCTGTGGGCTTTTCCTTGTGCCTCTACTCACCCAGCTCAGATGTTCCTTAGAAAGAATAGAGTTATAATATCATAGATTTAGATTCAAAACTGAAAGGGGCCTTGGAGGCCATTAAGTCCATCCTCCTCACTTTACATATGGAGAAACTGAGGCACAGAGAGGTTAAAGGGCTTTCCATGGATTGCACAGCTAGTAAATGTTTGAGGTGGCATCTGAACCCAGGTCTTCCTCACTCCAAGCCCAGAGCCATTTGGTGCTCTGCAGGCAATCTCATCAAAAGTTCATCTTTTCAAGGTCAGAATGTTGTGTGGTGTCTCCATGGGTTAGCAGCAGGGACTTTGGGTAGGAGATCACCAATAGGGATCTTGATTTGGCCATTTTAGGAGGAACACTGGCCAAAGCTAACTGGGATGCTCGTGGGCCTGGTGATTGTGCCGTGTTCTGCTTGGCCCCAGAGAGCGGAAACAAGAGCTAAAGAGCAGGCAGATTTCCATTGCTAGAAGGGAAAGCTTCCTAATAACCAGTTGTCCGAGAGTTAAAAGAGCTGCTTCAGGAGGGCAGCCAATGTTCCTTGCCCCAGTAGTTCAGGAAGCAGTTAAGTAGTGCATTGAAGAGACAGCAACAGGCCTCAGGAAGACCTGAGTTCAAATTCAGCCTCTGACATTTACTGGCTATGGAACTCTGGGTGGGTCATTTAGCCTCTGTCTGCCTCAATTTCCTCATCTATAAAATGAGGATTGTAATAGTACTTGCCTCATATGGTTGTGGTGAGGATCAAATGAGATGATATTTGTAGAAAGTCCTTAGCACAGGGTTTGGTGCATTTTTGTTGTTGTTAAGTCTTTTTCAGTCATATCTGGCTCTTCGTGACCCCATTTGGGGTTTTCTTGGCAAAGATACTACAGTGTTTTGCCATTTCCTTCTTCAGGTCATTTTACAGATGAGGAAACTGAGGCAAACAGGGTGAAGTGACTTGCCCAGGGTCATACAGCTAGCAAGTGTCTGAGGCCAGATTTGAACTCAGGAAGATGAGTCTTCCTGACTCCAGGCCCAGAGCTCTATCCACTGCACCACACTTAATAAATGCTTGTTTCCCTCCCCTCCTTCCCCTTGTTGGAGGTCTTTAATCTGAGTCCGGATATCCACTTTAGGGGGATGTTGTTGAGGGGATTGTTGTTCACATGGCCTGGTTTCCCTTCCTATTGTAAGATTCTGTGGTTCCTTGAGTGATGAGCCAACGTGCCCCCTAGGTGTAACAGGTAGTCACCTGTCTGACACATAATTCTGAGGTCAATCCCATTTCCCTCTGTGTGTGCCTCCTTCAAAGATTGCTGCTTTTGCCAGCTTCCAGGTTGAGAAGTCCCTGATGTCTGGGTGGATAAGTGCAGGGCTTTCTTCCTGGGTCCTGGCATTGCTTCCAAGAGGCCATGATTTCATCAGAACACTTGAGGTTTGAAACGACCTCTCCACTTGCAGTCAGGTTAGTTTCCTGAGAACAGATCCATTTACTGGTCCAGCTTACAATAAGGGTGCCCTGCTAGCAATCTTCAAGAACCCAGGGCCACCTTCACGCTTCAGTGAATCATCAGTGGCAGGTCTTAGTTAGGAATCCATTTATTTATTCATTCCTTCAACAAACATGGATTTTGCTCCTACTGTGTGCACAGGGATGTGCCAGGTGCTGGGAGAGACTCAGGTTTAGAGAAAACCCAGCGCCTGCTCTTTGAGCTCATGGTCTTAAAAAGAAGACAAAATATTTCAAGGTACCCATAACAACCATGTTTTCCTCAAAACCAGACCAGAGCATGACTCTTAATCAACTCCCCACTTCCATCCTGGCTGGGTTATCCTTGCTCTGTTAACACCTCCGTTTTTAAGGCCTCCTCCTCTGATTGGTGAGTGTCTGAACTTCCATTGGGGAAAGCATCCCCAGTGGCTGCACTGTCTTCAAGCCCGGACCACCCCAGGACTGCTTCTCCTCCATGTCTCCAGACTGGTGCCCCTAACCTCCCCCCCATCCCGGTACAGTTTTTGGGTCCTTTTCAGTCTTGTCACCCCCAAGAATGTTAGCTCCTTGCACAGCTTTCTTTTGTTCTTGTCTCTCTTTTTGGTTGTGTTGATATTCTCAGCACTTAGCACAGTTACTGGCACATAGCCCATATCTCTGTATGAAATAGCTATCTAGCTATCTCTCTACCTCTCTCTATAATCTATCTCTCTATATCTCCATCTCTCTTTGTCTCCTCTCCTCTTCTCTCCATCTCTCTCTCCTCTCCTCTTCCCTCTTTCCCCTCTCTTCTTCCTCCTTCTCCTCCTCCTACTTTCTCTCTCTCTCTCTCAAATCTTACTTTGGAAATGACAAATGACTGAATTTTGTCAATAACCCTGTTGTAATCCTCTTCAGAGTTCCCGTCAGTAAGGTCTTCAAAGTGGTTTCACCTAAGGATCCCATGGAGTGAGGTAGGGTGTACAGCCCCCTGAGGTTGGGTGAGTTCCTCACAAACAGGATTTCATCCACTCCTTAGGACAGCCCTCTGAGGAGGTGCTGTTATCTCCATTTTAAAGGTGAGAAAAATGAGGTTCAGAAAAGTCACAAGACTTGCTTCACCTGACCTTGCTTTTAAATTAGTATAAGCAGGAATTTTTCAGGGACTTGCCAAAATGAGATCACAATTTGTAATTAGCATCTTGATTCTTTGTAAATTAGCTCTTTTTTTAATTAATTCATTAATTTTTAGTTTTCAGCATTCACTTCTATAAGATTTTGAGTTCCAAATTTTTCCTTCCTCCCTGCACTCTACAGGCTATACATGTATGATCATATTAAGCATATTTTCACATTAGCCATGTTGTAAAGAAGAATCAGAACCAAAGGGAAAAACCGTGAGAAAGAAAACACAAAGAACAACAGAAAAAGAGAAAATAGTATGCTTTGATCTACATTTAGACTCTATAGTTCTTTTTCTGGATGTGGATAGCATTTTCCATCATGAGTCTTTTGGAATTATCTTAGATCATTGCATTGCTCAGAAGAGTTAAGTCTAACAAAGTTGATCATTGTACAATGTTGCTGTTGCTGTATACAATGTTCTCCTGGTTCTGCTCACTTCACTCAGTATCAATTCATGTAAGTCTTTCCGAGTTTTTCTGAAGCCTGCCTGCTCATCATTTCTTATGGAACAATAGTATTCCATTACATTCATATACCACAACTTGTTCAGCCATTCCCCAATTGTAAATGAGCCCTCTTAAAGTGGTTGAAATCAAGTTGTCCTCTTAAGGAACCTTCCCTCCTCCTATATACTGTGGTGTTGTTGTTCAGTCCTTTTTCAGTCATATCCAATTCTTCATGATCTCATTTGGGGTTTTCTTGGCAAAGATGCTGGAGTGGTTTGCCATTTCCTTCTCCAGCTCATTTTACAGATAAGGAAACTGAGGCAAACAGGGTTAAGTGACTTGCCCAGGGTCGCATAGCTAGTAAGTGTCTGAGGCCGGATTTGAACTCAGGAAGATGAGTCTTCCTGACTCCAGGCCCAGAGCTCTATCCACTGAGCCACCTACCTGCCCATGTGCTGTGTTAAGTTTGTACAATTTATGAGAAAAGGTAAACCTCAGAAAATCCCCTGTTCCATCCCTCCCAAATTCCTTAAGGAAGAGATACAATGGCATTAGTGTCTTCTCTCTGTTCATCATCCTGTAGATATCTTCTTGCTCATGGTGGTCTCCATGTTGTTTCCCCCTTTACAAATCCAGGGGTGGGGAACTTGTGGCCCTTGAGGTCCTCAAGGGCGGCCCTTTGACTGAATCCAAACTTCACAGAAGAAATGCCCTTAATAAAAGGATTTGTTCTGTAAAACTTGGACTCAGTCAAAAGGCCTCACCCAAGTACCTGGAAGGCCACATGTGGCCTCGAGGCCAAAGGTTCCTCACCCCTGGGACTATTAGAGTCCCTCAGTAGTCCCCAATTAGTCTTCAAGGACAGGTCCTGTCTTTTGCCTTTCTTTATATCACCAGCATTTAGCACAGTGCCTGGCGCATAGTAGCCAATCAATAAATGTTTATTGATTGACTGCTGCCCGAGTGATATTCCTAATGCATGGATCTTCCCATGCCACTTCTGTACTTAATAAATTTCATTACCTTTCAGATCAAACACAAGTTCAAAGCCCTTTCCAATATGGCTCTAACTTACCCTTCCAACCCTATTATATATTATTCCCCTTCACAGTTGTATGTTGTTTCATATTATATATTATTTCTCTTCACTCAGATCAAACTGGCTTTCTTGATATCTTCTACAAATGACTTTTGCACTGGTAGGCCCCCATGCCAATCATACATTCTTACTTCCCTGTCACCTCTGGGAATCCCAAGTTGCCTTCAGAGGTCAAAGGGCCTTGCTTGATCATCCCCTCAGCCCCTAATGCCTCTTTCCACTCCAAGCCTCTGTTTCCTTATGTGTAAAATGGGGATAATAATAGCACCTACCTTACTGGATTATTTCAAGGATGAAATGAAATAACACCTAAAAAGAGCTTTGCAAATCTTAAAGCTCTATATCAACAGTAGGTATTAATATTATTATTTTATTCTTTGTATCTCCAGGGCCTGGCACAGAGTTAGTAATTGCTTAATTGACTGATTCTTGTGGTTCTACCAAGATGAGTGCCCAGGATAATATTGAAGATGAAAATGAGAAGGAGCCAGGTAGGTACAGCTTGGGGCTTGGGGTCAACAGGGAGGCAGGTGGGGCTCTGGGAAAGGGACTAGATTATAGTATAGTTACTTGTAAGCTCATGGAGTCAACAAGTGTGACCCAGGGGACAAAAAAATGGGAGCTCTCTGACTGCACTCAGAGAGGTATGGTGTCTAGGATGATACTGGGAGACGAATCAAATTGTGGAGAGCCTTAAATGCCGAGCTGAGGAGTTCGTATTCTGTCTTCCAGACCGTAGAGAGCCACTGAAGCTTTTCAGGGGAGTGGGGTTGATTGTTTGGAGGTGGGGGTAAACTGAAAGCAGAGCTAATAATCCCCTTGTCCCTAATTTGGAGCATTTTTATATGGTTGTTGATTGCTTTTCTTCTTTTGAGAATTTACCATTCACATACTTTGACCATTTATCTATTGGGGAATAGCTCTTGTTTTTATATGTGTGATTCAGTTTCTAGTCAACTTTCTAAGAATATAGGTTACAAAGAAGGTGCCAACGTGTACTGGGCTCCAGGAGTTCCCTAGACCCATGAAATCATGGGTCCTGCCCTATCCCTACTATGTTCAAGGAGTGGCATTCTTAAAGCTTCCAATCGCACTGACTTTTGTAACTATCCCTAAAAAGGGTAATGGAAGGTAATCTCAGAGGGAAGGTATGAGCAATGGTGGGAGGGTGGGGAGAGATTGGAAAAAACCTCTTCTGTAGAAGATGAGAGAAATTTAAATGGAGCATGAGGGCCAGCTAAAGAAAAAAAAGATATGGGGTTGGAAGATTGAGTATCATGGCATGTTGGAGGAACAGCAGGAAGGCCAGCATGTCTGAATGAGGTGTATGGAGGGGGATGAAGTCTAGGGAAAAGGTAGGAAGGGGCCAGTTGCAAAGGGCTTTAAAAGCCAAACAGAAGATTTTTTTTGTATGATCCTGGAGATAATGAGAAGCCGCTGGAGTTTAGTGAATAAGATGGTCTTACTTTTGTTTTAGTAAAATCACTTGGGCAGAAAATGGGGGGATGGTATGGGAAGGAGATGGGTTTGATCCAGTAAGTGATTAACAAGCATTTATGTATTTACTGTGTGCCGGGTTCTAGGGACATAAAGGCAAAACAGTCCATGCCCTCAGGGAGCTTGCATTCTAATGGAGGAGACATGTAAATAAGTAACTACAACTGGATAGCTAGAGAGTGGATGTAGGATAAGGGGAGGCCCTAGCAGCTAGGGAGGGAAGGAGCCCCTGGGAGGGACTTTGTGGCTGGAGGCTGGCCTGATGAGAGGAGAACGTTTAGGGGAGCAGCATCTCTGCCAGAGCCGATTGCGGTTCCTGACTCCACTTTGTTTATGAATCTCAGCCAGGGCAGACAGCCAGAGCAGTTGCTCAAAGCACCCTCCCTTCTCACAGGAGATGCTGGCTTCCCTCCTGAGGTGTAGTTAGGCCCTGTTTTCTCATTAGTGAGAGTCAGTGAGTGGGTGCTTGACTCTCATTTCAGATTTCACTTGGGAGGTGAAGGCCAACGACCGTGATTACCACAGGCAATTCAAGACGAAGTCGTTTCTGTGTTGGAAGAGGAGGAAGTATTCGGTGAGCCTTGGACTTGGTAGCCTTAGACCCCAGCTGTGGGCCTGCGGGGACCTGGGGGCACCTGGGAAGCCTGGGGTTAACTGATAAGTTGGAGTGGGTTCACACCTGGGGAAGGGCTTGTGGGGCAGGAGGTGGAGAGCCCTGTGATGGAAAGAGCCTTGAACTAATAATAAGAGTGAGTATTGGTATAGATTTAAGCTTTGCAAAGGTTTTATATATTATCTCCTTTGATCCTCATTTGAGGGAGGTCCTATGACTATCTCCATTTCACTAACTGGGACTAGGAGAGATTAATGAGTTGCCCAGGGTCATACAGCTAGTCAGTGTCTGCAGTGGTATGTGAACACAGATCTACTGACTCCAGGTTCAGGCTCTAACCACTAAGCCAACTGAAAGTCTGAAGTTCTGGGCTTAAGATAGCAGCTTTGTCTAAACCTGCATTATGACCTTGGGCAAGTAGTTTCCCTTTCTCTGGATCTCAGTTTCCCTCTCTGTAAAATGAAAAGGTGAACAAAATGATTCCAAAAGTCTCTTCCAAGTGCCATATGCTATGAGAGGAGTTCTGGAAACATTGCAGACAGGAGATCAAGGACCCAGGCCGTTTTTGCCTCTCTCTGCTCAGAGATTCCCCTTTTTTTCCTATTCACCTCCCTCCAACCTCCATACCTAATTAGTGTCTAAGTCTTGAGAGTTGGGTCAACAAGCATTTATTAAGCAGTTACTATATGCCAAGCACCTGTCCTTAAGGAACACGTATTCAAATAGGGGAGATGATGTAAGTAATTAGGAATAAGCAATATAGAGTCAAAGACCAAGAAAGGCCTCCAGCTGAAGCCTGCTGCATGGTACAGTGGATAGAATGATGTTCTTGGACTAGGGAAGACTTGACCTTGGGAACACCTGAGTTTGGATCCTGTCTTGGATACTTTCTAATTGTATGACCCTGGGCAAATCACTTAACCGCTCAGCTTCAATTTCTTCATCTGTAAGATGGAGATAATAATAGTACTCCCCACACAAGGTTGTTGCATGTAAAATGCTATATAAATACTAGTTGCTAATAATGATGATGATGATGGATTTGAGCTGAATCCTGGAAGTTCTTTGATCTGGGTAGGAGCTTTGGCCCCATGCCCCAGGGGCAGGCAGGGTGACCCTGTTGTCCTCAGGCACTCTCACCCCAGTAGAGATTGTTGTTATTGTAGGACAACACCATTAGGACAGCCAAGTACAACATCCTGACCTTCCTGCCCCTGAATCTCTATGAACAGTTTCATCGAACGGCCAACCTCTACTTCCTCTTTGTTATCCTCCTCCAGGTGAGTTACCCCTTCAGTAATGGAGGCAGGGGGAGTCCTCATCTGCTCTGGCTGGGACGGAGCATGAATAAGGTCACTGCCCTTCCAGAAAGTGTGGGGCAGGGGAAGGAGTGTGTTGACTCGCATGTCTGGCTCTGCTGCTAACTTTGGTCAAATTCCTTCCTTGCCTGTGGGCCTCAGTTTCTCCATCTGTAAAATGAAGTGAGTTGGACTAGATGATCTCTAAGGTCCCTTCCATTTTTAGTACTAATCCTACCAACTCCTGACATTTCTATGGCTCCTTAAGATTTGCTAGGGACTTTAATGCAATCCAATTAAGCACCTACTATGTTTCATCTGCTTTCTCTAGCTCATGTAGGTACATTGTTGTTTGCATATTGTCTTCTTTTCTAGAATATGAGCTCATAGAGGGCAGAGAGTGGTATTTGCCTTTCTTTGTTATCTCAGAACTTAGCACAGAGCTTGGGACACAGTAAACACTTGATAGATGTTTATTGCCTGATTAACTGACTGCCAAACTCTGTACTAGGCATTAGGAGGACAAAGACAAAATTGGAACCATGTCTGCCCTCAGGGAGCTTACATTCCCATTTGATCTTAGTGCCACCTTGAGAGGTACGCAGGTATTATCTATTCTACAGATGAAGAAACCAAGGCTCATCAAGGTTAAGTGATTGGCCAATGGTCAGATGGCTATTAAATGTTGGAGGCGGGGTTTGAACCCAAGTCTTCCTGACTCCAAATCTGATACTCTATCTATGACACCATGTTGCCTCTCTGTGCTAGAGATGTTACAGAGGGCCTAGAATCCTTGAGAATGGGATTGATAGTACATGGAGAAGGTGGGTAGCACAGTGGTGACTGGGGGGCATTTGGACAAGGGAGAGAGGGACAAAGTAGTTAGTGTGTGGGTCTGGGATTATAGGGCACAGTTGCCAAATATGCCTGGTGAGGGTTTGGTGTGTGGTTTGAGGAAGGAGTAACCAGTAGGCTTGATTAGCCCTCTTGGTGACCCTTGGGAGGCCCTACCCATTGTTGGCATGTGCTTGGTGTGATTGAACATGTGGGCATTTTAGATGACCCCTGGATAGAGTGAGGTAATCTATTCCCCTGGTTTTGTTTTGGCTTGTAGGCCACAATCTCTTTGGTATCAAGGAATGGGTGGGTGAGCCCAGGAAGGGAATGACTGATGAACTTGGCAGGAATGCAGAAACAAAGAAGACTTCAGGAGGGCAGCCATGCCAGGGTGAGGCAGGGTTAGAAGCTAGGGTGGCATAAAGCTAGCCTTCTTCAAGGCTTGAGTTTAAAGGTCACTGGTGAGGGCAAGGAGGACCAACCATTTCATCTGTGATGATGGAGGTGACTAGGTAGATATCTTGCATTTGGATAAGAGATGGTATGGTATAGGGGAAAGATCTGAAGACTTAGGGTAAGTTGTTAAGCCATTTTTCAGTCATGTCCAACTCTCTGTGACCCCATTTGAGGTTTTCTTGGCAAAGATTCTGGAGTGGTTTGCCATTTTCTTCTCCAGCTCATTTTACAGATGAGGAAACTGAGGCAAACAGGGTGAAGTGACTTGCCCAGGGTCACACAGCTAGTTAGGTGTCTGAGGCCAGATTTGAACTCAGGAAGGTGAGTCTTCCTGACTCCAGACCCAGCACTCTATCCAATGTCCAGCCTAAAGACTTCAATTCAAATCTTAGCTTTGACATTAAAGTAGATAGGTGATTTTGGGCAACTTAATTCCCTGAGCCTCAATTTCCACATCTGTAAAACAGAAATAAAAAGACTTATACAGAAACCTCCTGTGGTTACTGTGAAGAAAACACATTTTATAAACTTGAAAGAGCTATAGAAATGGGAGCTATGCCCCTTCATTGCACTGCCCCAAAGAAATCTTCCTGGTACAATTCATCACTTGTGGACCCACCCTCTCCTTTCCCTCTTGACTTATATTTTCTTCTCTTTTCTTTTTTATTCTCTCCCTCTCCCATCTCCCTTTTTGTTCTGTTCCTTTTCTTCTTGTTACCCTCCTCTTTTCTCCTTTCCCTCTCTCTTGCCCTCTCCTGTCTTCTTTCTCCCTTCCCTTCTTCTGTCTCTCCTCCCTTCTCTTTTCTCCTCTCCCTTCTCTCTTGCCCTTCCTTTTCCCCTTTTCTTCTCACTTCTCACCTCTTTCTTCTCCTCTCTTCATTCATCTCTCTCTCTCTCTCTCTGTCTTCCTCTGTGTCTCTGTCTTTCCATCTCTGTTTATCTCTGTTTGTTTCTCTTTATCTTCCCCTCCCCAGTAGGGTCAGTTCAAATCAACAACAAGTATTTATTAAACACCTTGTCTGTGGCAGGCACTATGCTAGGTGCTTGGAAGATGGGGACAAAAACAAATAATGCATGTCTTCAAGGCCCTTATATTCTACTGGATTCTATTAGAGTGAGGTCAGATTGTGGAGGTCCTTGAGTGCCAGCCTGAGGAGGCTGGGCTTTTCTGTTGTGAGCACTGGGGAGCCATGGAACATATTTAAGCAGGGCAGGGATGTGACCAGATCTGAATTCTCTTGAGTGATCCACCAGGATCTAAGGATTTCTTTGGTTCTACTGGTATCTATTCTTGATCTTAGCCTGGGCCCCCTTGGAGGCTGATCCCCACCTCTTGAGATGATTTTCCTTATGCTAAAGTCACTCAGAGACCTAGGAGACAGCAACAGGTGTGTTAGGTCAGGCCAAATCTTGGCTGGAGCCAAGTGGGGAGGGTGGGTCTTATGTACATCAGGTCAGTGACTCTGCTTTGTCTGCCTCAGACCATCCCAGAGATTGCTACGCTGCCCTGGTTTGCACTTCTGCTGCCACTGGCCTGTCTCCTCACCATCCGAGGGGTCCGAGACTTGGTGGACGACATAGTGAGTTCATGGGGGTGGGGTCCTTCAAAGTGCATGGTGATGCTGGTGGTGACTGGGGGAGAAGGGCTGGCCTGATCCTTAGAGAAACTGGCCTTTGACCCTGCAGCATGGCTGATGGCCCCTGATCTGCTAACCCATAGAGGAGGGAGCAGGGGGGAGGTAGGCCCTGGGACACAGGCACTTTGGCAAGGAGACCCTAAAAGTGATGGACCAGAGCCAGGTTAAGGAGAAAACCACATAGTATGAAGAAGAGCTACTGTGGGGAGAAATATTGGTGGTGGAGGGCAATGGTGGGCTGTGATGAGAGTACAGCAGAGAGGATATTGGAAGTGAGATGAGAAGATTGGGAAATATTTGACCTGAGAGATAGAGCAAGCATGCCCCCCAGATATCAGCGCCTGGGAGCAAGGTTCTGGTTGCCCCATCCTCGTTATGGTTCTGTGGGGCAGCCTTGATGTATGGGTCATCATACTGGATCTGCTGGCTATTTCCCTTCTTCTTGGCCCAGACTGTCAGTTCCCATCTCAATATGACTCCCCTGGGATTGAGAAAATTAATATTATACAATTATATTAATAACTAATTATTAATTTGTGGTATTATTCGCTATAGGATGATGAGGTAAAAGTTGGTGAATGTTATCATCTGATACAGATACTCACCCCTCCCTCAAGCTTAGCCAGAGTTGGCAGCTTCAGCCAATGTGATGGTCCCCAGGTTATAGGCAAGGGCTGGGCCTTACCCAGGATAGACAGGGTAGAGGGAGTAGCAAAGAAGGAAGAGAGATGGCATATACCGTGGGAGGGCACTGAGTTTGAATCCTGTGTCACCTTGGACAAGTTACCAACTTCTCTGGGTTCCAGTTTCCTTATCTGAAAAATTAGGGGGTTAGATTCAATGACCTCTAATGTCCCTCGTACCACTAAATCCATGGTCCTACAAGGCTCACACAGTGAACTTTTCCCCCTTGTTTTCCTTCTCTCTGCCCCAGGCCCGACACAGGAGTGATTGGACAATCAATGGCAGGCCCTGTGAAATTCTGCTGGGGAAAAGGTGAGTCACCTTGCCAGACCATCCTGAGCCCTGCAGCTCTTGGGAACCTTTCTCCCACTTGAGAAGTGTTTACTCACCATTGGTGGCCTGGGTAGGCCAGTGCCTTGGAGTCTTTGATCCTCAGCAAACTGAGTGGTAGATATTTAGCATTGGGGAGTCCTTTTGATTTTAGAGGATCTAGTTGAAGTAAGGGTGTACACCCAATGTTCCAAAAGTCTCAAGGCAATTTTAAGCTATTAAAAGTAGATAGCTATAGAATGCCAGAGCTGGGAGAGCCTTTAGAACCCAGACTGTCAAAACTGAGAGGGCCCTTAGAACCCAGGATGCCAGAACTGGAAGGGACCTTAGAACCCAAAAGGTCAGAGTAGGAGGGTCCTTAGATCACTGGATGTCACAGCTGGGAGGACACTTCAACGATAGGTCATGAACTTTAAGAGCTGGAAGAGAGAAAAAACTCTATGAACTGATGCAGAATAAAGTGAGCAGTATTTGGAGAACACTTGATACAATAACAACAACATAGAGAAAAACAACTTTGTAAGTCTTTAGAATTCTGATCAGAGCAATGATCGCCCAGCCAAGTCGAAAGGAATGAAGATGAAACCTGCTGCTCAGCTACAGAGACGGTGAACTTAGGGTGCAGAAGGAAGGATACACATGGGCATGCTCGCGGAGGGAGTTTCTATTGGGGAATATGCAGCTATGACGAGGGCCTTTCAATTTTTAAAAATTTGCTCAGTGGGAAGGGCAGACTAATAAATATATTTTTAAAGAGTTGGAAGGGACCCTGGAGTTTACCTAATACACAACTCCCTCACTTTACAGTTGATGAAACCAAGGCCTGGAGGGAGAAGTGACGTACTTATGGTTCCTCAGTGAATTGGTGACAAAATTGGGACCCAAGACCAAATTCTCCTAACTCCCAGTCCTGGGCTCTTTCACATCCTAAGAATTCAGAGCCTGATCCCTCCTTTCTTGGGGGACAGAACAGTGTGGTCCACATTCAGGAAGGTAATAAAATATGCTGGGAGTCAGGGTTAAAAGCACTTTCCATCCTCAAGATAGGGAAAGGTTACTTTTCACTCTGGCCATCCAATTGGAATGGAGCTAAGGCATGTGCAGGCTTGTAGAAAGAGCCCAAGGGAAGGACGCCCATTGTGCCACATTTTCTAACTCTACTTACTTCACTGAGGAATTTCTCTTTGTAGCTTCTCTAAGAAGAAATGGCGGGATATCCAAGTTGGGGATGTCGTCCGTTTGTATAAAGATGATTTTGTCCCGGTAAGTCAGCATCTGGCCACTGCAGGCCTAATAGTGAGGCCTGCTTGGCCAATCTTAGGAATTAGAGTCTTCTGTCTGGAAAAGATTGCCAAGGGTCATCTTAGCTGTCCCCTTGCCTCAGAATCCATCTAGGCTTCTTTAGTCAAAGGTCATAATCTGCAAAGAAGGAGATTTCATGGCATGATATGTTAGAAAGGGTCCTAGACTTTCACTCCTGGCCCCAGAGTTCAGACCCCACCCCTGATACAAGGTCTCTTTCCTTTTCTGAGCCTCACTTGTCTCATCTGTGAAAGGAGGGTAATAATAGTTTCTTTTCCTCCCTGTTATGATTGATGTTAGAAGAGCCCATAGTAAACCCTGAATCGCTTGGAGAAATAAGAAATGAAAATTACTCTTCTACTTCCCTCCCCCACCCCAATTTAGTTTTTATCACCATCCTTCCTCAGATCTAACTTCACTTTCTCTTGCTGTAATTCCCTACATCCTTCTTTGTGGGGCTCAAAGGCTGACCTACTCCTGTTGGCCAGTTCGGAACCTTGCAGCCTGTGCTACGTGGAAACTGCAGACATTGACGGGTGAGGACATCAGGGTCTCTAGGAAGGAGTGGGATGGGGGAGGGCCAGCATCAACAGAAGCAGGACTAGAAATCCTGGGGCCTCAGAAGATCTGGGGACATGGCTTTTTCCTCTCGCCTCCAGTCTTCAATTTCCTTTCTCCCCCTTTACATTGATGCTTTTTTCTGTTGTCATTCTAATTTCCTGCTATACTTCCCGCTTCTATTGAACCCTCTTTTATAAGAAAGAAAAACAAACACACAATACTAAGTGAGGAAGCAGTCATGACTGAGAGAGTATGTAACAATCTGCCCCGGGAGTCTCCCACCTCTTTACCAAGAGGACCCAGCCTTTAATCAAATGAAAGAGATCTTTAGTTACAAGAGTCTGCTTGGGTTAAACTTAGTAGAACTGGAAGGTACATTTGAAGCCACTTAATTAAGCCTCTCACTTTACAGTTGTAGAAACTGAGACCCAGGGAGGGATATTTAGCTTGGTCAAGAGAAGGTTGGTTTTTGGGAGTGGGGGAAACATATGACAGCCATCTTCAAGTACTTGAAAAGTGGTTATGTGGAAGATTTTGTTTGACCCTTGAGGATGGAACCAGAAGCCGTGAGTGGAAGGTGTAAAGATTCAGCTTTAGATGTGAGGTTGGGGAAAAAAGTGAACCAATCTTCCTAGCAGTTAGAACTATCCAGAAAGTGGAATGGGCTACTTCCTTGGCAGGTAGTGAGCTCCCCATCACTGTAGGTCTTAAAGCACAGCCTGAATGACTCTTTGTCATTGCAGATATTCTTGGTCAGGTAAGGGTTGGACTGAAAGTCCTAGAAAACTCCTTTCAACTCAGAGATTCTCTAATTCTCTAAGGTTTAGGTGACTTACCTAAGATCACAAAGATGGCACAAAGTGGCAGAGACAGAATTCAAATCCATTAATCCAAAAATAATATTTCTCATTCCTTTTTTAAAGCAAAATTTATATCTTTTGTTTTTTATATCAGCTCTATTTCCCAGTGTATCCCTCCCTCTCTCTTTCTCAGAAAGTCACTCCTTATAACAAAGAATAATAAGAGGAAAAAAAAGTAACAACACAGCTTGACAAAACTAACCAACATACCAGAAAAATCTGATGTTAAAAATATGCAGCGTACCTCATCTGTAGACCCTCACCTTTACAAAGATGTGGGGAGAGATGACCTCTTATAGCTCTTCTTTGGGGCCAAACTTGGACATTATGATTTCTCAGCGTTCAGTTTCAATTGTTTTATTATTCTTTCCATCGACCTTGTTGCAATCATTTGTATATCATCTTCCTGGTTCTGCTCACTTCACTTTGCATCAGTTCATATAAGTCATCCTGTGCTCCTTTATAGTCATCATTTTCATTGTTTCCTGTAGTTGCCATGTTCTACAACTTCTTTAACCGCTCTACCCACCCTGTCAATGAATAGCTCTCATTTTTCTGCCTCTTTATGTTTTATGGTTTACACAGTAAAAAAAAAAAAAAAGTAAGCTTCTTGAGGACAGGGATGGTAATATTTTTTGTCTTTGTCTTCCCACTGCCTGGCACCTAACTGATGCCTGATACTTGCTTGCAGAATCAGTGATTGAATGGACCTGGTAAGAAAGGTCACACTGGAATGATTATCCTCATTTTCACAGATAAGGGTGAGAGAGGAAGTGATTAGTTCAAGGTCACACAGCTAGTAAGTTTCTGAGCCAGAATTCAAACTTAGGTCTCTGGACTCCAAGCCCAGTGCTCTTTCTATTATACTTCCTGAACAATGTACCCTACATCTAGATTTGTGCTGGGAGAGATGAGGAGGATGTCACAGAAAATAAAACCTCGTCTTTGCCCTTGTTGGGCTCACAGCCTAATCTGGAAGTTGAGCTAGAGATCCATAAAGAGTTAATTAACTAGCTAATAACTCCATTTATATAATACCTTTTAAACTTTACAAAACATTTTCCTTTCAAAAGGAGGGAAGTATAAGGTCACTGGAATTGTTCCCCTTTGACAAATGAGGAAACTGTGGTTCAGAGAGGTGAATGGCCTGCTAAGGGGCACGGAGCTGCTAAGGCTCAGAGCCCAGAGGCTAAGCTAGGCCTTCTGCCTCTTTCCACTGCCTGGCTCCCATGTGGTAGCCCTGAGTGGTTTACAAAGTCTGCTGAAGTGGGTGGGGGGAAATTATTATCACCATCACTAAGGTTCAGAGCAGGCACTTAACCTGGAACAGTGACTTAGTTACAGGAAAAGAATTTGAGTAGTTTCTCTGACTTCTGGGTCTCTGAACAAGTAACAAAGTAAGGGATCCTCAAGTTAGAGCTGGAAGAGAGTACAAAGGTCATCTAGTCCAGCCCCCCCAACCCTCTGCCCCATTTTACAATAGGACCATAGGGTTAAATGACTTGCCCAAGGTCACTTGTTAGTAAGTGGCAGAGTCAGGATTTGAACCCATGTCCTTTAGCTCTAAATTCAGTGCTCTGTGGGAGGTATAGTAGAAAAAGCCCTACTATTGGGAATCAGAAGATCTAGGACCTAGTTTCAGTTCTGGTAGGTTTCTAAAGAAATGATTGGTGGGAGCCATCTTCCTGTGGATTGCAGATTCAAGTGTGTGTGTGTATGTGTGAGTATGTGATATTCTATGAGGATTAGTGCTTTCCCAGCACTGAGGAACTTGCCTCATAGTTGCCCTATCCCTGTCTTGTTGCCAGAGAAACCAATCTGAAGTTCCGCCAGGCCCTGAGCATCACCCATAAAGAGCTGGTCAACATGGACAAGATGGCAGCCTTTGATGGTAAGCAGTTGCTAAAGAACCATAGACATCAACCGAAGGGCTCTGTGTGCTCCTTGTCCTTAGCAGGCATGGCCTTTGAAGACAGGTCACAAAGGAGAAGAAATTGGCTGATCTACCCATCCCCTAAACTGAATTCCCTTCTTGCTCCCTAGCATTCTCTCTCCTGTCCAGCCACCAAATCCTACTCCATGATTTTCAAATCCCTTAACTTCTCTGGACTTCAGGTTACTCTTCTATAAAATGGGGGATTTACACCAGCTAATCTCCCAACTATCTTCCAGTTTCAGTGATCTTTATTCTCTGGTCCCTTTCAGCTCTGCTGTCCCACCTTCCACATCCTCAGGGGCCTCCCAGCTAATCCTATCTCTCTCCTTGTATTCACTGCCGAGCCTTTTCTTTATTCACTTCTTAACCCTTTGAACTCTGGCTTCAGATGTTACCTTCTTCAAATCTTCTCTTCAAAGGTATGAGTGATTTATTAATTGTCAAATCTTCTGACCTTTTATCAGTTCTTATCCTTCTTGGTCTCTTGGTAGCATTTGGCAACTGTTAACCTCTTTTTTCTTAATTTTTAATTTTTTTGAGAGGGAATGGGGAAAACTGTTATCTGTTTGACAACTCCTTTTCCAACTCTTTTGGAAAGGGAAGGAGGAAAGGAATAAACATTTATATAGCACCTACTATGTGCCAGGCGCTGTGCTAAATAAATGCTTTTCACAAATATTGTCTGGTTTGATTCACAACAACCCTAGGACATAAGGTTCTATTATTATCCCAATTTTACAGTTGAGGACACTAAGACAAATAGATTAAGTGACTTGCCCAAGGTCACACAACTAGTAAATGTCTGAGGCTGGATTTGAACCCAGGTCTTCCTGACTCCAGGCCCAGAGCTCTTACCTCCTTTCCCTCCTTCCAAACCAACCATCCTCCTTCAGCTCTTCACTTCCCTCTAGGTGTCTCAGAGTCAGGGCACTTGGATTCAAATACTAGCTCTGACATTTTGCCAGGAGGCCTTGGGTCACTCAAATATTTTATCTCCCTAAACCCTAAAATCTCTAAAATGGGAAGAATGCTTCTTGTACTACCTACCTCATAGTGTCATTGTAAGGACTGAACGTAAACTTTAAGAGGCCTATAGTAGTTGTTACTGTTATTATCTTTTATTACTGAGAGTGTGAGCTGGACTTGGCAGCTGGGAAGTCATGGGTTCAAGTCTCACCTCTGACACACACACAGGCTATGTGATTTTGGGCAAGGGGTTTTATCTCTCAGGCCTCTAGGCAGCTTATTAAGACTCTTTAATTGCAGAGAAAGTGGTGTGGCCAGCATTAGTAGAGGGAATTTCCTCCTCTGGGAAGCCCACATAGCAGTGAAATTGCAGGTCCAGGCCCTATCCTATTAATATTATTGATAGTATAGATTTAGAACAGAGAGGTTAAGGAATTTCCTCAAGGCTGCTCAGGGAATTAGAAGCCCAGGACTGTATCTTCCTCCTTAAGGCACCCTGGGCCGGGCTCAGAGCCCAGTGCTCGGCTTGCAGCCCCCGGCCAACAGCCTCACACTGGTTGGTTGATATGACAGGGGTTGTGGTGTGTGAGGAGCCCAACAGCCGAATGCACAAGTTTGTGGGGACCTTGGAATGGAAGGGAGAGAAATATTCCCTGGACAGCGAGAAGATGCTCTTGCGAGGCTGTAGGATCCGCAATACTGACATCTGCTATGGCCTGGTCATTTATGCAGGTGAGCCCACACTGCCCTGTCCAGCTTTGTCCTCTTCAGCTCGATTTTCAGTGTTCAGCCCTCCCAGCTCTGACACCCTGTGGTCTAAGGGCCCTCCCAGCTCTGACACCCTGTGTCCTAAGGGCCCTCCCAGTGCTAACATTCTGTGTCCTAAGGGCCCTCCCAACTCTGACACCCTGTGTTCTAAGGGCCCTCCCAGCTCTGACATCCTGTGTTCTAAGGGTCCTCCCAGTGCTAACATTCTGTGTTCTAAGGGCCCTTCCAGTTCTGACCTCCTGTGGTCTAAGGGCCCTCCCAGCTCTGACACCCTGTGTCCTAAGGGCCCTCCCAGCTCTGACACCCTGTGTTCTAAGGGTCCT